ATTGGCGAGCCTCCTCCAAGATGTTCTCGACTTGATGAACCGTCCAACTGTCTGACCATGTGCAAATATCACAACGGCCATAACAAGATCTCATCTGAGGCCACGAAATTCTCTCGCCAGTGTGCACAATCTGAAGCCTCGTGCCCTCCGGCACTACCGCATCTGTAAGTTCCGCGACTGCCACTGATCTATGTCGGGACTGATTGCATACAAAGATTACGTAACAACGCTTCGGCCGCACCGATCCATCCTGCTCCAGCCGCTGCTTGAGCTCGCGCATGTTAGCAAGGAAGTTCACATCTCGTAGCGGTGCCGCAAGCGTATCGGGGTGCCTCCCCACATGTCCCCGAGTCTGTGGCCGATCCTCTGGGTCATTCAACCGCAGAGTGTCCATCACGAAGATAGCTGTATCGTCTGCAATGCGATGATCGGGAAACATGCCTTCGCCAACAATACAGCCCTCTGATGGCAGGGCTCTCTCAAGTACTCCGCAGCCTGCGCAATAAAGTTACGACCAGCCGATGCCGCGTAAACCTCCATGGAGGGCAGAGCCTCGAGATCCCCTTCACTTCTCCGCACCACTCTCTCACTCTCAGTGGTTGCTGTGTAGCTGGTACTCAGTACTGCTTGGGATGTCCTGAGTTTCCGAATGGCCTTAGGCAACTCCGTCTTCTGTCTCAATCCCTTGGTCAAGTTGATGCACAGAAGATTACTCCCCCTGGCTCGGGCTAATGGAACCATCCATTCTTGGCCATCCTTGCGAATGTAACACCGAAAATTCCCCATGTCCTTCACCAACCCCAACTTACTCTGTGCGAACTGCGACATGAGAAGCGGAGCCGTTGTATCATCAGGTAGGACATGCACATCCATCAAACCCGAAGTGAAATCCTGATCTCCTTTGCTGTTCGGGTCTTGGGTCAAACCTTCCTTGCCACCACGGTCAAGGAGTGAACTCCCGAAAGTCTCAATGCTGAAGGGAATCCGCCGGGTACCAACGGTTGAGGCGCTGTGGGCAAGTCCATTGAATGTTTTGGTTTCGGAGGAAATCCACGGGCACTCGAATCCCAACTCCCTCAACTTGGACTCCGTTCTGTTCATCCACTGACCACCGGCAACGCTGCTGTTTGCCCCTTCATCCAAAGTAGCCCAAACATCTTCGTCTTCCATAATGTCAACCACTGGGAGAATCAATCCAACCTCATCGTTAGGCAGGGGTCCGGGTTCCTCAAGAGTTGCCATGAATCCCGAACGTCGTGGCGCATATCCTGTCCTCTGACGGCTTGCCGATGGAGCTGCAGAGGATCCAGACCAATCCGTCACACCTACCGGTCCACGAGGTGGATCAGGTTCTTCGGCCACTTGTGATGCTTCAATGCAATCTTGGAGTATGCCATGCAATACTTCTGCTGAAATGGTGGGCTTGGCTTCTCCGGCTACATCTTGTGCTACCATGTGGTCCTCTACTTGGGTTCTGAAATCGTCCAAGATAACCACTGCTTGCTCGGTAGTCAACTCCGTACCCTGACTCACGGATTGCTGAATGCTCGATACCAAGTCGAACGACGCTGCTGACATGGTCTCAATCTCTCTTCCTACCGCCTGTCGTCTCTTTGCCTCCTCTCTCGGCATCTCATCAATGAAATTCCCGCAATCCTTGCAGAATACCCTCATCGTTGCCTTATTGGAACCTAGCCGGTTTGTGTTCTTGTGCTCACAAAGGTTGATGTCTTTCTTCTCTGGCATCTCCTTCTTCGTCTTCTCAATCTTACCGCAATCTTTGCAAGTCTTGACCTGCACATAAGCGTTGGTTCCCAAGAAACTGAAATCTGTGCATTTCCGACAGCTCACGGGTAATGGTGGATTTGGCGGCTTCTTCTTGGCTGACTTGTGCGCTGATCTTGCTGGTATCATCTGATCTGATGCTGAAGCTTCTGCGCTGGGGACTCCCATTTGGTCGAGCGGGACTTCTCGCCGGGAGACTTCCATCGTCTTTTGATCGATGGTGTAATAGTTGTGTACCCAATCCAGATACTGAGACAGATACAAGGACGGAGCTCGTTCGTTGAATCCCCATGACGCATATCCCGGAAATCGCCATGTGACCTCTTCATAAGTCAACCCTCGATGCTGTCCAAATAGGAACTTCTTGTCACCACCTGGAGGAACCTCATCCCTCATTGTTCCTCCCTTGGTCAACCTGCTTGGGCTGTGCCTGTACGCCATCATCGCATGAGGACTTGCCGAATCATCCGAAATCAGCAAACAATCATCCTCTGAACTCGAATCCGATAGCGTAGCCAAGAATGCTTGCTTAGCTGGGGTCTGGTTGGGTGCCTGACCTCCACGTCCTTTCGGGCACTGTGGATCCCCACTCCAATGTCCAACTTGACCACATTTCATACACCTCGATTTGCTCTTGATCTCCTGAAGGCGCTTTTTCCTATCCTCAATGCTCAAGTTCGACTTGACGACTGGGAATCCTTTACCTTTTCCTTGGGATTTCCCTTTTCCTGCCTTGCCCATGACGACATTTGCAGCCAATTGTAGCTGAATAGCCTCTGCCGCTGCTTCTGGGTAAGCATCTGGGTCACACGATTCAATGACGTTCAGCGCGGTTGCAATGTCTTCATCAGATACATACTCTTCTCTCTCTTGATTGTCTGGGGTATACGCTGGGTATGCTTGGGGGTTTTCACCATGCTCTCCATACCACCATTCATTCGGATCGGTTTCTCCCCAATGCTCTGCTAGGTATCCCCAATGCTCGTACTCTGATCCACTTGGTTCTCCATAATACTCCGCATGTTGACCCATCTCTTCGGCTGCATACGCTCTCCACGGTGACTGCTGATTGTAAGATGGCTTCCCTGAAGATCCTTTGCCGAATCCCTTTGGGCCAAACTTACCTTTGTCCCTGCCGAAGTCCTTGGAACCGAACTTGCCTGGCTCCTTGCCCTTTCCTTTGCCAAATGGGTCCAATAAGCGGTTGTCCCTCAAGTGAATGTTTCCATGATGCTCAATCATGATTCTAGCAAAACTCTCGAAGCTGTTGTCACCTCCTGCGCAAGCCTTAATCATTAGCTGCTGATCCTTGGTGAGTCCACTTAGCTCCAGCATGAGTTCTGCTCTAAGTCCATCACTCAAGCTTATTCTGGGATCAAGCTGTTGCATCAACTCCCACCACCTTCTTCGGCGTGAGATGTAGCTGACGATGCTCTCACCACCTTGTCTTGACAGTGGGCCGTACTGGGCCTGGCCACTGCGAAAGAGTGCCTGTGCTTCAAGGGTTCCCAAAGGAAACACCATGCGCTTGATCTCTTGAATTAGCTTTCTCAAACCTCCCGGAGATGACAATGTCTGAACACCCAAGTCCTTGGCCCTCTGAAATGCGTCTCCTCGCAGTCCCTCCATGACACGCAAGGTAGCATCTAACCACTGATCTTTCTCACTCTCTCCATCGGAATCTTCGGACCCTGACTCGTGTTCCTTCACCTTCGGGATCTCACTGGACGTGTCTGACACTGGGCCACGCTCCAAGTCAGCCTCACGCCCTTTCGTCGGGGACCGCTCTCTCTTCCCCGTCTCAGGCTTGCTTGACGACGAGAAAGATTCGCTCTTCTTCTGCTTCCGTTCTCTACGGTCCTTCTTGATTCTCTGCTCACATGCAACGATACGCAGTTCCGTTCTGAACTCCCATTCGTGATACGCTTCTGGAGTGCCACTGTAAATGAATACTCCATTCTTTGTCACTATGGGGGCCGTTGCATACGAACCCTGCTGGTACCTTAACCCTGCGACTGTCATGGTAAGGCACACTCCTCCAGCCACACCAACCAAAGGAATATCACACTGCTTGCTTCCACTGTGTTACACCTTCCCCAGCCAACACGGTCTGAGGCAATACAACGGAGAACTGGCTTCCCAAAGGCCCTGCTGGAGCTTCACCCTGCAATTGAGGGCTCAGCTCCGCTACCAATTTGGTAACAAAGCGCTTCGGACAGCTACTTTTTGCCAGCTAGCTCAAGGCGCCTTCGAGAGGAACGTTACGGTCAGCACATACAATTGATGTTTCCTACCGCACTAGCACTTTACAATGAAGGCTTCCTAGGCATGCGCTCAGGCTACACATCGCAAAACGAGGAGGTATTCTCACCCTATATAGACCGGGCCGACAGGAGCCTGACGTTCGTTTGAACACCTAAAAACAACCCTACAAAACCTCGTACAACGCGAGCACATGAAGCCCCAGAAACATGCGAACCTGAAGCCCTTAACCTAAACGGCCAAAACTAAAATTGAAAACACCAAACCCCGAAAGCCTTACAGGAAGCCCTTAGCCTAACCCTGCACTACCCTAAACTCCAGACCTTCTAAAACCATAAAGCCCTACTCGAATCCTGAAAGACCTCGTAACAGGGGGCACGCACATGAAGCCCTGACCATGGACCCTGAAACCCACAGAACCATGGAACCCGGTTCAAATCCGAAAAACCAACAACAGGGTGCGGGCGAAGCCCTTAATTCTAAACCGTAAACCCGGAACCCTAAATCCTGAACCCTACCCCTAAAGGTCTTAGACCCTAAACCACCGAAGTTAAACCCTAAATGCCCTCGGGATCCCTATTCCCGATAGACGGGGCCTTGAAAGGGGTCACATGCAGCTCTTTCAAACCCTAAAAGACTAAAACGGGATGCAAATGAATGATGTAGAACGTTTTCAAGCCTGTCAACACCAACGAAGGGAGCACATAGTTAACGGCTGGATTTATTTATTGTACTTTTCTTTATCCGGATAGAACTGACAGAGCTTATAGAACCCTATACATGCCCTAAAGACGGGCACGTGAAGCTCTGTTGAAGTTATGAAGCCCTCAACCTCGCAGAAAGCCTAAAACACTATAGATGTTCACCCTAACCCGCTAGACCCAAAACAGGGGCACATGAAGCCCTGAACTCTAAACCTTAACCCCCTAAGCTCCCTAAAAAAAGGGGGGCACATGAAGGTGTCCAGCCCGAAGTACTTGATCATCATCTCCCACTCTGGCCGGAGGTCCTGGATCACCCAAAAGAGCGGAGCCTTTTGAGGGCTCTTTCAAAGGGCTCTCCTCTACTGGGTTGTGCTTTGAACCCTTTGAAAATTATTTATGAATAGGTTCCCTTTATAAGGGAATAAGGGAAATTAAAAGTTATCCCAAAGCACAACCCAGATTTACTTAGGGCCTGAGTACCCTAGCCTTAAAAGGTAGGAATACATATAACCCCAACAGGTTAAAGGTTTCCTACTCGTTTAAGGGGATCTATCGAAGTATAAGGAATCTGAGGGTCCAGATCTGAGAGTGTAGGGTTTATCTCCAAAAGTTTTTTAAATTTAATGGCTGCTTTGAAGGTCCCCTTGGGTTCGTGTGAAAGTTTTACGGGGCTCCTTCAACATAAAGGTTCCTCAAGGAATTCTTTACAGCCTTCAGTGCTTAGGGGTTCTTGAAAACGTTCTTGAAAGGGATTCTTTAAAGGAGCCCTCATATCGAACTCTTCTAGCACCCCTTAAGGGATCTATACTTGGGGGTTAATGCTTAGCGCTCCTAAGTTTGAAAAAGTCTGAACGGGTTCCTATTTGAGGGATCTGTATAAGTGAAGGGTCCTACAAGGGATACTGTGAGGGTTTTGGGTTTTGGGAGCCACAAGGCTTTAGGGTTTAGGGTTTGGGGTATAGGGTTTTATCTATCTAGAAGGGTCCGATAAGGGCATACTTCTCAAGTTCTGATGCACCCAGCTGCTCGTACTGGCGTCTCGGGTGCAGGTCCACCACACCCCCCATCCCCAGTCACATGGACTTAGGGTTCCCTGTCGGGACGGAGCAGCGACTCCTTCATCGGAATCGTGGTGCGGCCACACCTCGAATACTATCATGTCCGGCAGGATAACGACATGCCCGACAACAGTGCATCGCGCAGGATGCTGCTGCTGCCTGCACAAGTGAACTTGAGTCAAGCTCCAAGCCTCAAGCTTATGCCGAGGCGGCAACGGATATACTCGGTGCCATGGGACACAATGTTCCCAAAACATGACACAGCTGCACACGTACCTAGGACTGAAGCGGTAGCTTTACTTACCTTCCAACAGTCTGTTGATACTTTTCATGACGGCCCTTGCAGCCCTCTCATCATTGGCAGCCTCTTCTACACCTTGTCGCATATCGATGCTGGCCTTATCGTTGGTCCATGCAGCTGAAAGGGTTGCCGCTGTTCAGCGACTGCCACTGCAGCCCCATGGCGTCCAGGACCACCCCCCACGTGGCCCAAAAACAATGCCAAACTGCAGACACGGATGATTGCACGCGCCAAACCTTCCGTGCAGAAAGCCTCAAGCATAATAAGGCTCAAACCTATCTTCTAACCCCAAAGCCCACTAAGCTGAAGCCAAAACTAAAAGGGGATGACGTGGGCTGGGAGCTCAAGGCTTTCGACGAAGATCACAATGAGAAAGCTCCCCCGCGTCTCCTCTGGAACGTGAGGTAGCGGAGCTGGCTGCCTGGGCAACTAAACGGGTTTGCAGCTCAAGGCTTATGGATTTTCGACTTGGGCTTGAGCGTTTGGGGTTTGGGGTTCGGATTTCAAGTTTGGATTTAGGGTTTGTGGTTTAGGGTTTAGGGTTTAGGGTTTAGGGTTTAGGGTAGGATTGATCTAAAGTTATCTAGGATTGAGAGTATCACGAGGATTTATGGATCACGATTTAGGACCTAGGAGGTGGGATGTGGGCTCGGTAACGTCGGAACTCAAGCCCTAACCCCTAATCCTGCTGAACCCCGCTAAAGCCTAAACCCGAACCCTAGGCCCTAAACCCTAAACCTAAATTCTAAACCCAAAGCCCTAAACCCACAGCCCTCGATCCTAACCCCAAGCCTAATATATGGGCTTTGAGAATTAGATTAGGTTTTGGGGGCCGACTTTACTATAATCACAATAAGGAACCCCAAAATAGTATTATATCCATTTCGGCCCCTATATTCAAGCCCTCGGACCTAATCCGACCCTTGGGTTCAGCCGTGGCACTCAGGACTGGCGATGCGGCGCAACCGGAGGTGGCGGAGGATCTGGGATCCGGGTCTCAAGGTTATTGGGTTTAGGGTTTGGGGTCTACGGTTGTACGGCTTGTCCTTCTTACTTTTACCAACATGGAAATGTAGTATGTTTTGTTGGCTTGTTGTGTTTGCTGGTTTTGCTGTATTTGGAGCTTGTTCCCGATTGCGGTCACCATGGTTGCCCCTGCTACTGCAAACTATTCGTGGCATTGACCCGGTCCCTGCCGCTGAAAGACTCAACCACAATCTCTCTTCATTTTCCGCTGGAAACAGAACCGAATGAGACAGGCAGTCTAAGCGTTTGCGAGTCCGAATGCCCTACACCCCCAAAGCACAAATGTCCGACACCCTAAAGATTGCAGCACTTAAGCCGGAACGCGTAAACTCCAAAGCCCCAAAGTCCTAGGCGCCCACAAATTCTCAAGAGATCGACCCTAAAGGCCCTAAAGACATAAACCCAAAAGACCCGAGCCCTCTATCAATAAAGTCCCAACACCGGCTCACTAGGGATGAGGGTCGAGCCCTCTCAAAAAGGATCGGGTCGACATCCAAGAAGATGCGGCCATCCTGCGGTAGCTCTTTAGGCTGTGGTGCTTTTTGGGGGCCCTGGGTTGCCTTATCTAAGGACCTTTACAAACGCAATGGAATTTTGCCGCCCAGTGTACCATAATCATCATAAGGAACCCGAAGGATAAGGCTGGCAATTATTCCAGCTTCCATACCCTAAAACCCTAAAACCTGCACATAAAGCTCCAAAAGAACCTCTAGAGAGAACCCTCAAAAGCCGCAAAGCCCCATGCCACCTCGAACCCTCGTCATAAGATAATGACAGAACCCCCCCTGAAAAAATGCGTTTCAAGGAATCCTCCAAAGGAACCTTTGCGGTTCGGCGTGTACGGTGGTGGGATATGTGGGGGCATTAATTCACAGAAAAGGGGCGGTTTCGGGTTCAGGGTTTAGGGTTGAGGGGTTTTGGGGGTATGTTGTAAAGATCGGGGTTGCGGACTTTCAGTGGGGTTTAAAATTTAGAGGTTCGGAGAGCTGCACGCAGGTTCTTTCGGATTTCCGCCAAGGGCCTTGTGAAAACGTTTGCTAGGTCAATAGGGTTTGTGGTAGGTTGCGGTGTTCAAATCAAAGGGTAAAAAGGAGGGACCCTTAATGAGGACCCCTAGGTGTATACCGTATACCCTTAATGTAGCTATTATATACCCGTTATATAGCCCATTATGGGGTACGGGGTCGCCATTAAGGGTCCCTCCTTTTCCCCTTTGAAACATGGCTTCCTTGCTTCGGCTCCTTGGGGTAAGTGGGTAACTATAGTTATAAGTCCGATTAGGGGACTTATAACCCTACTTAGAACTACCCATGAGTCTCAAAGTAGGGGGGACTTGCTCTTCTCAACTCAGCTGAAGGGCTATGGTTGAACAGATGACATCAGTTGCATGTTTGGGGTTTATCTGAAAACTTACAGTGGAAGCCAGAAAGTTGGAACATGAATTTAGGAGGATTAGTGCTAGGATCCCTTTTCCTTTACCTTAAAGGCATGAGGATACTAATGTTCCAACTTTCTGGCTTCTACCATATAGTCTAGGGCTAGGGTTTGGGCAGTAATTGAACAGCGGGCAGCCAAACCCTGAAACCCAAAGCGTGCCGAGGATCCTTGTCGCGCTTGTGACCAGCATCGAAGTTGCCGGAAAACATTCCTGAACGAGGCGTCGACTTGAACAGTCCCCAACATTATGTATAAATAGGGCTCTATATCAATACAGATTATCCCCAAGTCGATACCTCGTGAGCTGATGCCCTCATTCCCCAAAGCTCGGTGGAAAACCTAGACCCTCGATTCCCAAGCTACCTCCGGCTCTTTGCCCCTGCTCTTCGAGTGTCGAAGAAAAGCCTTTGCAGCAGGAATAGGGTTATGGAATTTTATGCTAGAATCGTGAAAAGGAGCCCAAAGAATCCTTCTTGAGTCAACATCGAACATCCCAAGGCTTGGGCTAGTCAGTCCTGGCGAACCAGTACGCATGTGCAGCGAAAGATACACCCCAGCCCGCAAGACTGCACTTCAAGGCCTCAAACCTCAACACTCCTTCATCCAACTATGAGCCAACCTAGGATACCCAGTAACCTAAGAATAAAAAGGCCTCTCTTTTTGGTATTGGGTAACTTTATAAGGAACCTAGGACTACAAAAAGGGAATAAGGGTACTACTGGGCATCCTAGCAACATCTTGACTCGAAGATCCACCCAAGGTCGAAGCTTTATCACCTGTGGACCTGATATCTTTTGCCGGTGTAGCATTCGGGGTGGAGATTGGGATGCGGGATTCGGGAGTCCGCACACTTGGGTGAGTAGAATATAGGAGTTTCCGAAAATTAGGGGTACCCTAATTTGGGTCCTTGTAATAAGGATCTTACTATTTAGGGTACTATACTTGGGTCCCCTATTTTCGGAAACTCCCATATCGGACGTCGGCATGCCAGCAGGCACGCGGTAGTGCTTGCTTCGGGTCCTCCAGCTTCGCCACCCCGACGTCCCTGTTTCATTCACTCTAAATTAATCCCCAAACCCCAAACCACACACCCTGAGCTCCTTCCGCCTAAGACCTCGACCCTTAATTGCCCTAACTCCCAACCCTTAACCCCGAACCCTTTACCTTGAGCTAAACCCTTAACCCTGCGATCAACTCCCAACCCGCAACCCTAAACCCTAAACTCCCAAAGAACTCTTAGGAACCCCTATAGATCCTTTGAAGGAAGCCTTAAAGGAACCCTCAACCCTAAACCCTGTAGCTCCGATCCTATAGGGGCCTTAATTAGAATAGGGTTTTGGGGTATATTATACTATACTTATAATAAGGAACCCCCAAAATAGTGTTCATTCATTCCGGCGGTGCAAGGTCCAGTCGTGAACGTACCGGTAGCAAAAAGATGAATTCAAATGGTGAAACAGACAGAGAGTGCGACCCGCTCAGGCGACAAGCGCTTGGTAATTACAAGCCACTCGGCGAGCGGGCCAGCGGACTCCCTGCTACAAGGGAATGACAGCAGGCATGGCCGACCCAAACGTGCGAGGGAGAGGGCAAATCCAACCCAAGCAAAAAAGAGACGGACCCAAGCCAGGTGCTGTCTGAGGCGACGCAAGGAGCAGGAAGCCGGTTCCCACAACGGTGTCGCGCCCGCTGGCGGTGCCGGGATCGAGAGCGAAAGCCCCGCATATTCAAGCCCCTCCGGAGGTCCCTGCCAAAAGTGACATTTCCGCTGCGTAGGCCGCACCCCATCCAAAGCCGCAACGTCAGAGACACCGAGATCACCAACAGATACGAAGGGGGCCTCAACCCATGAAGAAGCCAAAGGCAACGGGACCAACAGAGGCAAGAAAGGGGCAACCTCCTCGCCTCTCGCCTTAGGGACACGCGACCGCACATCACAGTGTAAGTCCACCTGCATACACAAGAGAACGTCCTTAGCACGCTCACGAAGAGGGGACTCCGGGAGGGAGGAGACCCATTCAACAAGCGTCTGTCGCAACAAAATAGTGTTGGTAATTATTTAGGCCCCTATAGTAGCTCCGATCCGTGCCTGCCAGGAGGGAGCCCGTGGCACTGCAGAGCACGGCCCTGGCGGTGGTCATGTGCACACCTGCAGGGAGCGGTGCTGGAAGGCTGATATGTTCGTACATAAATATCTATATATATATATATATATATACAAATTATGATCAAGCAGTATAACATATTGTATGTATATATATATATATATATATATATTCTGCCCATTTATTTGAATATCTATTTATCGATTTATCTATTCATCCACCAGGCCTTTTTAGGGTTCTGGGTTTGGGATTTCCAGTGTTCCCGAGGCTCCCGAGGCTTCTGGGGATTGGGGGTTCTCGGTTCCCAGAGAGCCCAATATCCCTTAATTAAGGAATATGGCTTAAAGTATATAGGGCTTCATATTATGATTTAAGCTATATTCCTTAATTAAGGGGTATTGGGCTCTCTGGGTTTACGGTGATGCAAGATTTTTGGCTCCTCTAATCCTACAGGGGGTTTAGGGTTTACGGCTTGGGGTTTCGGGTTTAGGGTTTGGGGCTTAGGGTTTAGGGCGGGTTTAGGGAGAAATCCGCGATGAAGTGCAAGCACCTCCCACATTCAGCTCGATGACGTCGTCGACGCTGTCCACCACTGCCTGAGCGCAGAGAACTGCTACTTGGAGGGCTTCAATGCATGCGCAACTCTCTCTTGCAGCCTGTAAGAGCGTGGGGTTCGCAACAGTGTGGCTTCGAAGGTGTAAAAGGGAATCGGGCTATCCGAAGAACACCGTTGAGTTCGAAAGAATCCAAGAAAAAACCGAGAAATCACGAAGCCTTTAGCCTCCCCCCCCCCGCCTTTTTCGAAGCTTAAGCTTTGGGGTTTAAGGACAGAGCCCTCGGCTCTACCCTACGTCCTAAAGCCGCTCCAAGATGTTTTATAGCCCTGTGAAGACGTCGGAACCAGGGTCTAGGATTTAGGGGTTTAGGGTTTAGGGTCGATCCACAACGGACCACGAGTTAATAAGAAAGCGCTCGGCACTGAAACTGCTGTACATTTGATACAACCCCGTTCTTAAGTCTCTACGAAATACGACTGAACACATTATGCTTTGTTGCACACTACGGTTCATTTCAACATCTATTTGCTGACTTCCCCGGCACAAAATAGCTTAAGCTTTTCAATATGGCCATGCCATATAAACCAAGCAAGTTAGAGGGTTGCAAACTATCAGAGGCCTGGGCAAGTACAATCAGTACTGCTTCCTCACCATCTGACTTGTAAAGCTCACCCCTGACCCTCAAACCCCAAGCCCCTAAACCCAAACCCCTGAACCCTTAAACACCATCGCCAAAGACTAAATTTAACCCTAACGACTACATACTAAACGCTAAGCCCCCGAACTCCTAAACCCCTAAGATCCTAAGCCTCTAAACCCTAAACCCCTCTTCTCCTAAACCCCTCTTCGTCCTAAACCTCTCAACTGCTAAACTCCTATACCCCCTAAACTACTAAACACTCTTAAACTCCTGTAGAACCCCTACCAACTCCCAAACCTAGAACCTTAGAGTGCCAGCCCTCGCCCGGGCCCCGAGCGAAGATGCGCCGCTCGACCTCAAGGAGCTGCTGTCGCTTCTCCTGACAAGAAACCCAGAGATCCCAATACCCTTAACTAAGGAATATACCTAAAATCGGTTCACCCCTGGAACCCTTAAATCATAATATTGAGGCCCCGATAATTGAAGGTATATTCCCTACTGAAGGGGTATTGGGTTCTCTGGGAACGGGTTTAAGGCTTTGGGGCTCAGTGTTAGGGTTTAGGGTTTAGGGCTTCGGGATTGTGAGTTCGGAGTTGCGATCCTAAATCCCTAAGAAGAATATTAATAATAACAATAATAATAGTAATAATAGTAATAATAGTAATAGTAACATAAAAATAATAGAGAGAATGGTAATGATAGTATTATTATCCCCTGGCCCCAGGCCCGACACCACCCTGAGAAAAGCACAAAAGAAGCACTTGTTGGGGTCCCTGAAACCCTGCCTCCACCGGTCCGTGTACAGCTCTTACGAACCCCTAGGGTTTAGGGTTTAGGGTTTAGGGTTTCATAGAATCCCTCCAGAGCCCATGTAGAACCTCGATAAAGCCGATAACAAAGCTCCGCTAGAACACCTCTCCAAACGCCCCTTCAACACCTTTGGAGCCTCGGTATAGCCTTAAACCCACAACCCCCTATACAGCCTGATAAAGCCCTAAACCCTAAAACCTAAACCCTAAACCCTAAAACCCTAAACCCTAAACTCCCAAACCCTAAACCCTAAACCCCTAAACCCTGAACTCCTAAACCCTTTAAGGGAGCCCTTGGAGTAGAACCTCGAAGGCACCCTTTCGAACCCCGCAGCCCCCCAAAGCCTAAATCCCATAGAGCCCATGCAATGGAACCCTATGGCAAAACCCTGAAAGTAGCCCTTGTAGTCACCCCTCGCAACACTACTTGGAGGTTCAGGGGTAGCTATAGGTACGGTTTTAAGTCCCCTAACAGGGCTTCCAGCTATAGTTACCCTACTTATAATCCTGCTTAGAACTACGCATGAACCTCCAAGTAGGGCCCCGAAACCCCATACCCTTACAGAATCCCCAAAATAGATCCCTTTAAAAGGGGCCCTTCAAGGAACCCTTACAACTACCCATGAACCTCCAAGTAGGGCCCCTTTGTCGGCCCGGGCCTCCACGAGCTTCTCAGCGGAGAGCAGCGCCTGCATCTGCTGCCGGGAGGCCTCACGATCCTGGCGTTCATTTGAGGTGCCCATCCCCTAAAACCCTACACCCGAAACCTCTGAACCCTAAACCCTAAACCCTAGTGTTCAGGGTGGTGTGGTGTGGGCTTAAGCTTTACAGAGTTTAAGGATAAGCTGTGGGGCTTAGGCTTGGGCTTTAGGGTTTAGGGCTTTAGAATGGTGTTCGGGGTTTTGGTTCAAGGTCTACCCTAGAGTTCGGTTAGAGCGGTGGGGTTCAGGGGTACTATGAGGGTGGTTATGACAGCTCACAAGGATTCCACAACGGGGTTGACCGGAGTTGCCCTAGGGATCTAGGATTTTGAGTTTAGGGTTCTGTTTCGTTGAAGGGATCGACTCCGTGTCCTTTCTCAGCTAGGGGGCTCGGTAGCTTCTAAAGGGCAGCGCGTGATTCGTGTTGAGGGGATCAGGATTCGGATGGTTTACAGATGTTGTTTGAGTAGGTCCCAAGTGAGCCCGTAATGGTACAGGTTACGATCATTGAATTGCTCCCAATGCCCTCCCGTAAGGTCAGCAGTTCAGCAAGTGGGAAAGCAACAACACCCACCACTCAGTACCCAGACCCCCGGGATAGATCCCTGAATGGGGGTTCCTGTAAAGTACCCTTAGTAGTATAGGGCCCCAAGTTAGGGGATCTGTTTTCTAGATCCTCCCGGGGGTCTGCGTAAGCGAAAAAGGTGTACAGTTCCAGTCGACCGTAGACTTCTTGATTCACCACCATTATAAGGGATTCGGATTTCGGGCTTGGGGCCACGATGTTAAGATCCTTAAGCAAGGTGGGAGGGACTCTTGCAACAGACTAGACCCTGTCTCAAGGGTTTATATGAACCACGCTCAACTCCCGCCCTACAACCCTTTCTAAAACCATACAAACTTCAGTAAGACAACTACGAACACCATACAAAACCCTCAACCCCAAACCCTGAACCCTCAACCCTATAAACCCAAACCCTTAAAACTCGAAACTTCCTGAACCGTTGACCCCTCAACCCTCTACCCCTCGCTCCAAAAAAGGAAGAAAACCTAGCCTTATTCAGCTGCGTCGTCAGTGCACTCGCCAACTCCTGGCTCGGATGGTCTGAGTCTAGGGTTTAGAGTTTACTTGAAGGTTCATGGGTAGTTATAAATGGGGTTATAAGTAGGGTTACTATACTTATAACTCCTAAAAAGGGACTTAGAACCCTACTTACAACTACCCATGAACCTCCAAGTAAGTGTTATTAATTTCTTCTCGGATGTTTCTCAGGTATTCATAAGGGCGCTGTAAGAATTCATAATTAATAAAGTGTATTGAAAATCTAATTTTGCCAGGATTGCATGCGGTTTTCTTGTGGGTTACATAAACGGTGCTTTTTACAGGGTTTCTTAGGTTGCAAGGGTTTCTATAAGGTATCTATGAGGGATCTGTAAAGGATCTATAAGTTATACGCGAAATCTATTATGAGGGTTACTACCAGTGATCTGCATTTCGATGTGATGTCATCGGCATATGCAGCTCGGATATGATTCTTCATCTGGGTTCGAGTGGTTCAGCTCTGCAACAAGACAGGACCTGTAAGTCGCAACATGTTTCTCCATATTTCCAGAAGCGTCCTGGAATGAACCATAAAGATCAGTAGCCTCCTCTTGCGGGCAGAGTCTGGATTCTCGCTTTACTCTTTAGAATTAAGGTTTTGCTCTAAACCCTAGGCTTCGCAAACATCACCTTCTCCGAGTTGCTGCAGAGCCAACTGCTGGCCCAGTATCACTTAATGCAGCATTCTTCATACATCTTAATTCAACTTAAGATACTACATAAGCTGCAGAAGCATAAGGTTTCGTAGGTTCCTCTTATAAGACGCTTATATACCTTGAACCAAGACAACTTCCCCTCTATCACGTGAACGATATCCCCAACCCAAGCACTAAACTCCAAAAAGACTCCGGTTAAGCTAAGAGTCAAAGGTTCTGTGCATGCTAGACCAGATGATCGAAGCCTAAGCCACCCTCAAAAAGACCCGATGGAACCTTATAGGACACACAAAACCAGAAAAAACCTTTAATGTAAGCGGCTGAATAATTAGCAACAACTTCCCTCTATCATATTGCCCAAATCTAAAGTTTCAATTTGCACCAAAAACCATAGATACCTCCCATTTCCTATTCTAACCTCAAAAGAACCCCTAAAGCCTAAATCCAAATTGCACTAAATCACCGCGGACCTCCAGCGTGGCATCCTGCAGCGCCTTGGACCGCCATGTTCTTGACATTCAACAGTTTTCGAAAATGCTCCAAAAATCCTTGCTTAGGTTCAATATGGGAATCTGATTAAGAAACCCTGGGTCTGTATTGGGGCTCTTTATACGGTTTAGGAATTAGGTTCCTGCGCAATGCCGTAATCATAATAAGAGTACCCGTTTTCCTGATCTGCGGTTTGAACAAGGGAACGATACAATAGAAGGGGCAAAAGGGTACCACTCAAGAACCTGCAGAAGTTTTGGCTTTAGGCATGATGGTCTCGGTCTACACGGGTTGTCAAGCGATATCATTGTCTTTGCAGTCTTGTCTTTCTGGAAACCTTCCAGAACGTGCAAATATCACTGACCCCAGCAAGGCCCTAAATATGCGTGGGGAAGGGTGGGGAAGGCTATTGGGAGGAGCCTGCAAATTGATAGAATCTGGTCTTGGTGTATTGTATAGTATAATTGTATCAAGTATTCGGGGATAGTATGCTAAATGCAAATATCACGAAAGCCAACTATTGTATCGAGCTCTATGCTGAGACTGTGGGGTATGCCGCTTCAGGGCTTTCAAGGTTAGCGGAGTCCAGCGGGGACTCCTGTCTATCCACGGCCTTAGACTCCCGCGCCCTTACATAGGATTCTGAAAAACCTCAAACGGAGAAGTCGTCTCAAAACCCCACTTCAAGAACACTACGAGCGTTCAAAAGTTTTTTGGACCTTATAAAACCCAAATGGCCAAGGTCCGGGCCCTGAGGCTGTTTGAGGAAGTCATGAGACACGGCCTGATTTTTGCGGGGCTCAGGGATTCAGTGCTAAGCGGTTTGGGGATTCGGGATTAAATGGGGTTCAAGGTTTTCGGCCTTAGGGTTTAGGGTTTTAGGGCACTAGGGTTTCGGATTCTTTGATTTAAGCTTTCGGGCTTCGGGGTTCCATAGGGCTTGATACAGTGTTTGGGGTGTCGTTACGGGTATCCCAAAAGCTTCACATTTGTAGCACAGTACACTCCTTCTTCTCGTGGCTCGGGGCTGCCTTGAACGTTGGGGGCTGGGGTTTTTGATGTAAGGCTTCCGGAACCCCTAATCTAGGGGCCTTAATAATTAGAATAGGGTTTTGGGGCCCATTATTCAATTTGGTGAGTCTCCGTGTTGAGAAAAAGGGGGTTTCCTCTACGGGATCTAAAGGGTTTAGGGTTCGTTTAAGGGCTCCTTTAAGACGAATCGCATGGCATGGACTGCGACAGGGAGGAGGTTCCGAGCCGTAAGAAATGCTGGAACGCATCCGAAGTGGACAAGCAAGGCTCTTGGAGAAGTATGGATTCTCGTCTGGAAGATGCTAACTAGTGACGTCTGCGGCTTCGTGTGAGGAAGAAATTGACACAAAGGCATGTTCACAATGCATGTTGCGACTCTTAACTTCAGGACCGATTTGCAACTGATGTGACAAGCATATGCAACAACTGGTAGGTTCTCTATCACGAGCAGTCCGGTCTGACGTTTTGCAGCGGTAAACCCCGAACGTGGCTTCCACTGTGAGCTGGGCCTGGGTGTTGGAAAGAGACTTCCAAGCTTGGAAATTGGGCTTGAGGCTTGTGGTTTGGGGGTCATGGACGCTGAGTGGTTTGGCTACGTGACTGGCTTATGATGGGGATGGGGATGGCAAGAGACACTTTGCTGATGAGGCTGATGACGCTCGCTGGACTGAGAAATTATGATGATAATACAAGGATGCCTGACTCACTGACTTTTCTACATGCTGCTGGTTCTATTCGCATCAGTGCTGGAACCAGTGAAGATGACACCGCTTTCCATTGTTGACAGTGATGTTGATCTAGTTAGCCAACAGACACTCAGGCCTGGGTCTAGCATTCAAAAGAATATGCTCTTATGAAGCTGGCAATCCTTGAGTTTACAAGTTTTGTCTGTCTGCATTGTGGCTATTGCTACCGTTGATCAGCTTCCGGGATGGCGAGCTAGGGTGGACAGTCTGTCCGTCTTGATCTTGCAAGCTTTCTAGTCACTGACCCTGGCTGTGCTAGGAGGCCGTATTCGCACAGTACTCTGCAGTAGCAGGCACATCGTCGTAGTGGTTGCGGGAGCGGAAGTGCTAGCAGCAACAGGGAGCCGTAGTTGTGGGTAGCATGCCTACTGCGGGCACGACTTGAACTAAAAGTTTGCCAAAGCTCCCGTCGTTGACTTGTGAGTCTGCTCATGGTCTCGATCAGACCTACTTTCTTAGCCGGGAAGGTGGAATCAGTCGAACCTGGTGGGCACATCTTGGCACAGATAAGAACACTGTCGGCCCTCGAAATTCCTCGTGCATCTTCTCAGAGTTGCTATGCAACTCGGACTCGTAAGGGTTACTATAAGGGATACGCAAGAACGGCTGTTGTATGCAACTCCATAAACTGTTGGGGGCTTCTTCCAGGTCCACTCTTGTTGCTTTTCAGTGGAGCTCAGAGTAGGCTGTTGCCATCCGATGGGGTTTCGCCCTTTCCGGCTACACGTTAGTTCACGACCCAGCATCTCAACAAGGAGCCCGAGGCGTCTCACATCTCGCCACATTGCTACCCCTGTACTTTAAGTGTTCTTACCGTGTAGGATATGCGGAGAGCTTCTACTCAAGCAATCGCTGGGACAAGCACCTCGTCATTGCTTTCCCCGCCCTGTAAGCCCAGTCTTGCCCTCCACATGTTTTGGAGTTGAAGGTTCAGGCTGTCTCGGCTTTGAGACTTGCGGTGTGCTGTTTCGGGCACGTGTCTCGAGCATGTTCCCTGCTTTTGGTTGGCGGCTCAGCCTGTACAAAACTCTGTGCGTCCGCGTACACCCTCAACGCCACGTCGTGCCCCACGTGCCGCTCCGAGAAAAGCCTGTACAAGGGCTTCAACAGGTACATGCTCTTTGGAATTTTGAGTTTAGGGGCAACATCTTCCGGACTTTACCTTGTTTTCGTTTGACTTGCAGTTAGTCCATGACGGTATATCGAAACATGCACGTGGCAAGTTGGGTTTTAAGTATCGGCTCCAGACGGCCGCTTTAGCACAAGGCAAATTCTGCAAAATTCGTATAGTTTCAGACAGATGGATAAGATGTATGATGCCCGAAGCTGGGATTTCGGCGCTGTGCGGTTGCGACGCTGTGCAGATGGGTTTCTGCTGAACATTTGTGGAGGCGGGTCCAGGTGTAATGGCATCGGCAACAGCCAGAGCCAGAAGAACTGGGATAAACATCAGGAGCAACTGCGCCACAATACGGTCAACGGTGCCAATGAAAAAACTGCCCGCCAGTACACATGCTTCGTCGTTAACTGTGAAGAGCCCCGACGCCCTCAAGACCTCTATGAGATCATAGGCTGCATACGGAATCCCAAACATAGGAAATCGAAGGGTGATCTTGGTTTTACTTGGGCGCGACTGCACAACCTTGGTGCTGTCGATGCAGTCTGAGAGAACTAGGCCGAATCGGCACGAACGAGTGGACGAGTGAAAACAGAAATGGGCCTTTGATATTGCTTTTTTACCGAACATAACTGGAACGGCATCGGTGGCCAGGATTGTTGCGAGATTTCACGATCGGCGAACCAAGCCGCATACCCACTGCCTTTCCGTGAACAAACCCTGCATACTCTAATGCTCTGTAAGATCCCTCTGTAGAAGTCGGGGACGAGCAAAGCATATCGGTCTGGAATCCGACATATAAACCCAAAAGCCCCAAACCCTGAGCCTCAAATACAATCTGAAATCCCTGACCCTAAAACGCCTCAGCCCTGCAGGAGAGCACATGCAGCTTGGACCCTTTTCCCGTCAAATGCAGGAGGCGCCAGTGGATCTCCTGCCAATACTAACCCTAACACTAGGATGAACACTAATATAAACACTAGGACTACTACAAATACTGATACCGGTATCAATACGAATACTACCAGTACACCAACTTGCGAGATCCTATTGCTTTTAGCCTATTTGGCGGTGCTAGGGTTCTGGGCTGGGAAATTTAGAAAATGATGGCCTTCAGGGATTTCTTGGGTCTATAGGATATTTTTTCGAAGCGTGAGGGTTCAGAGTCTTGGGGAACTTTCGAGGGCTTACTTTGGCAGTCTTGCTGCTATTCCAAGTGTTTTCCTGTCTGAGGCTATAGTCACAATTCCTATCGTCGCAACAACACCACGAGTAAGACGACGACTATCACCACTACTACGATGGCAGTCGCGGCAATACTTACAGTAGTTATGACGCGAATACTTCGCACTAATACCATTACTAAGTCAGTTAACTCTAATGCTGAAACTTGGCCCGATACTCATGCTCAAGCTAATGCTGATACGGATAGCAGCAGTAATGGTACTACATGTCGTGAGTTCTCGAGTTATAGCAGTAAGAAAGAACGGCAATGAAACACAAAATGTTTATAATAAAACGAAGGAATAACAGTAATAAAAAAGCACAGCTAGTTCAAATGCAAAGAAAAACACTAAACGGTGACACAAATACCAGAATATGTAAACAACACGAAGCAGTACTCGTCGATAGCAATCACCATCATACATACATACATACATACATACATACATACATATATATATATATATACAGTGATGTGCAATGCGAAAAAGTTATGTATATATAACCATTTAAGTATGATATAGTCAAACATACGTTTACATATATATATATATATACATATATATATATATATATATATACATATATATATATATACATATATATGCTATCCCCAAAAAAAACCAAGGTTTTCAGATAAGAACATTGGTGGGTGCTCCCATTATTATAGAATTCTAATGCTATTCTGGAAGAGTACTGAAATAATGTTTTTATGGTAGTGTTTTTTGCTTTTGTAGTATTGTTTTTGTTTTTTGTTGGTATTGTTTTTTGGTTTCTCGCCTAGAGCCATTCTAAGCGCGATCACGACCAAAACGTTTTCCGTTCAAGTGCCATATTCTGTTGGCGGCTTACTTCGTATGGAAAACTCGCCCCATGCCGTGTGCTTTACTAGCTTCAGTTGTAGTATGTG